TTTGTCTCTCATAGTTGAGGTATACCTATGATGAAAATTACAGGCCTCTCTCATCTTTTTAAGTGGGAGAACTTGCACAATTGGTGGCTGACTAAATACTTTTTTGCCCCATTGTATAGGGAAAGTAGGAGGAAGCAGTATTGTATGTTTACTGCCCTGAATTGACCAAAGGTGGGTTAAGGTTAGGTGGGATAAAAATCTAATACTGTAATAAACATAAATAATAATGGAAGGACCACTAATAAAAAGTTCTTCCCCTCCATAGGCTAACTGCAGAGTTTCCAATATCATTAAAGTATGGCCTGCTAGTATTATTTAATATTCCAGTGGGACAGAACATTATACTATATAAGAAAGTTGTTTCATGAAACCTTTTTCTTGAAATGCTAAGTGTGGGTAGTGTTTAAAATGCAATCCCACATGCTGTTGGTAGCAATACAACTCAAAAACCTGTCAACTCATTCTACAGCTTTTATCTGTCTTACTAGCAGAACAGCTTAGTTATCACAGAACCCTGCATTTAACTATTTCAAAGCAATTTTCATTATATACACACACACATACACACACATATACATGCATACAGATATATATATAAATAAAAATAAAAAAAGGTTATGTGGTTAATCATTCTACTTTTCCCCATTCCTAATCTATCTCATCTCCTTCACTGGTTAAGCCAAATACATGATTAAAAAGTCAAAAAGAAACATTACATTTTGACTTTGCTGTAATTCACTGTATTCAACAGGACTAAAGGAAATATACCCATGTCTGAAACCTAGGGCTGCATTTGGGACAGGTTTCCATTAAATTGGATGACATTATCCTTATGACTGCATTACTATGTGGTAAAAGTTTCATGGACCCAAATTTATCTTTAATTAGTTCACTGTAGGTGTGATATTACCTAGTTTACATACAGGCTTCTGTACAGACACAACTTTCACTGAAATTGTTTCACATGCCAAAACAGAGTATTTTCATTACAATAAAACAACAGCAATATAAACAAACCAGATTAAACTGTAACAGCAACAGAAAAATCAAAGGAAAAATGAAAATAATTACAAAGTAGGCTTTTAAAACTAGTTTCTTTATCAAACAAAGGACTGCAAACTTAAATCTGAATGGTTTTTTCCTAAATATAGGTCTTGGAGCCAATATTTTGTGACTCTGGACAATTCAATTGATATAGCCTTAGGATAAGTCAACTTAAAGATGAGACAATTTATCATTGTAAACAGGATGCTTCAAGTGAAAGAACTTTAATTATTGTTTATATACTGTCTTAAAAATTTAAGCACTGAAAAGTTATCAGTTGATTATATATTTCAGTGCATTACAAAACTAGATTAACTGCAGATATTTGAATTAAAAATAGTGTCCTCAAGCAGAATACAGGACAAGTATCATTTGTGGAAATAATATGTCTTTGGTACTTAAAATATACTTATGAAGTATAATATGTCTTTGGTACTTAAAATATACTTATAAAATATACTTATAAAGGTCAAATTATGCTATTATGAATACCCACTAATCCTAACTTTGGAGTACTCAATCTAATATTCCAAATGCTCTCCCCAAAATATTTTTATTACATGTTAGACTAAAACACACTGATCTTTACACAAAGAACAACTACATTAGGTACATCAGGGTGGTTCTAATGCTCTTCATCAAACCCTTCCACTGGCTTTTCCTTCCCCTATCATTTCTCTCTGCTTATATTTCAACACCATTCCTATCATGACATCCACTCATCCAGTTCCAGCAACTTCAGTTACTCAAAGATCCCTTGCTCCTCCTCATACATCATCCTCTTTCTTTTGATGCCTTTTATTCCTGCAACTGCTTCTTAGAATGCCTCTATATGAACACTGATTTACTTTGCCCCTCAAAACTCACATTATTTGTTGAAGGTGATATTTACACCTGAAAAACACTGGCATCTTATTTTATTGTCTAATAAAAATGTGGAACCTGTGGGAGCTGTCTACAGGTATCAACCATAATCCCAACTATACTTTACTACAATTAAGCCAAAGCATATGCAATTACATATTCCATTACTCCACTTATTCCAATTCCCCTTTCCTCTGTTGTCTCCCTATGTTTCTTTTGGATAGTTAACCTTCTAGGATAGAAGCCAATAATACCTAATGTTGGGTCATGATGCGTATGAGGAGAGAAGCTGTGTAATATGGGAGCTCTTTTATTTTTCTAATGTTAACATGGCAACTTACGTGTAGCCTGGATTCCTCCTGTTACTTTGAAGGAGTCTAGTTTACTGTACTCTTCCTGTTATTCCCTCAGCCAGCATCTCTTCATCACTGAGTCAAACAAGGCAAGTGAGATAAACAAAATAAAAGCTGTACTTTCCACCTCTTCAAACTTTTTCAATTTATTAATTTCCTTTCTCTGCCTGTTTTTCTTTCTCAAGTCTCTAGGTCTCCCTTTTTGAAACTTCAATCAGGATTCCGCACAAGAAACCCCTCAGACTCCTATGGCAGGTCCCTAAGGCCCAAAACAGCTGAACTCCAATCATTCTGTAGGTTGTCACAGAGGTACATATATATTATGCTATTAAATGTACCTTTGGGACAGCCCCACTTTGGCAACTGTGTTCAGGTCTGATTAGGCCCAGTACAAAACATGGCGGGGGGGGGGATGTAGGAGGCCCTTCCTTATAAGAAAACCCCTTTTGGCTTTATTTTAGGGGAAAAGACAAATAAAGATTACTACAGTTTCAGACTGATATGGAGAGAGCACACAATACACAATTCAGAGTTACCCATGGAAGCTAACTAGCTGTCAATTCAGGGCTGACATAAAGGGAGCATTTTTAAGGCTATATATAATTAACTTATGGAATTCACTATCAAAGTATGCAGCAATCGCCATTACTTAAAAACTGGATGATATGTTACCTTCATAAACATGTATTCTTGAACTCACCTTTGCAAAGAAACATGGACAGAGGCAGGGAGATTTGTAAGGGGAATTAACAACTGGAATTAACATGCCGCACAGTCAATGTCCTGAGGTTATATTGCCCTACCTGGGTTTATCCCTGGGTCAGAGTGCAGATTCAGGCTAGTGGAAAGGATAGTATTACCTGAACAATTGTAGAAGAGAATACGAGATTATGCAATTCCAGTGAGTTCTCCATACCAATGTGTCTTCCAGATTCACATACTTTTCATTAGAATTATAAAGCAAATTTAAGAATATGGTACAAGAATTACATGTTTGCTTCATAATATGTAGTTTTGACTTTAGACAGCTATTTATAGAGAACAAGTAGGATCTGCAACAAAATTTTCTAATATCGAATGCCTGTACTCATGGTATTCATATATATTTCTTCAGAGGTACTCCATTCTATTCCCACCCAGTCTTCTGGTTATCATCCACTCAACAGGGAGTGGGGGAAAAAAATTGCATGTCATAACAGGAGATCAACATCCTGTAATAAAATGCTGCAGTGTGCTGATGTTCCAGTCAATCAGCCATGCCTACTCTAATCCATCCACTCTCTCACTTGAAGTTCTATTTTATCTCCCTCTAAGCAACCACCTGTCAGCTACAAAGCATACTCAGTCCTTGTAAGTAGTTTTGATACTCCCCTTGCCTTCAGGGTTTTAAAAGATTATTTTGCCGTTTTGAAATCTCAGGACTGCACTGAGACTATTGATAATTTTCTTATGTACATAGACAGTGCTACATAAACCCAGGTAATGTGAAATGGTCACACAAACTGTAACACTTACACTTGAATATCATAAATGGAAGGAATTATCAACATTTTAACAAGTAGAAGCTATGATCCATTTACAGGGGCAATATATTCAGTACACCTGAAGATGACAATACCAAGCTCTCTATCTGTTCACCACCATGTCTTGCTTAAGAGCTTCCAGCTATACCCAGGTTGTCCCTCATTTCACAGCCGCTTTAAAACGTCTTTGCATGTTCAACCAGGGGCATCTGCAGGGGCACAAACAGCATCAAAAGGGTATCTGTAATTAGGTAATTGAAGCCCTTTTTATGTGTGCACAACCACTGCTCTACACTCCAGGATTCAGCAGTCCTAGTGTACATGCTAGGCCTCTCAAGAGGCACCTCTGAACTTTCTAAAATAATAATACCTAACAAAATCATTAAGATTTTGATCTGAGATCTAGACTGAAATGCTAGTGATCAGGAGTAATGGCCAAGGCTCAAAAACATAGCCAACCACAGCTATCTGCTATACATACATCCTGTATCATTTCAGTTTCAGACGCTTCTAAAACAATAAAAACACATTTCTTAAAAAGTATGAGAAATTGTATAATTTTTGGAACACTATTACTAAAGTATTTGAGACTTCCACCAAATATTTAGAGATATTTACACCAACAGATTGTCACCTGGACTTCTATTTCCATAATAGAAACTTGCAGTGATGATGTTACTTAGATGGATAATTAAACTTCAGCAAGCAAACAACCAATCTCAGAGAGCACCAAGAATTCCACAGTTCAATCCTGGGCTACAGATATTCTCTCCTATTGTATATATAACCATAACAAAAAATTGGTTATGGGAAAAATTAACATGGCCAGTGGAACATACAATTGAATTTTTCCTAGAAGCAATTACTTTGATTGAAAGGGTAAGAGTTACAGATCTGAATGCTAGTCTCACTGAAAGCTACTATAACAGAGAAAGCTAGGCTGAAGCTTTCTGCCTGACCGTTAAATTAATACACTGATTTAATTTTTTAAAAATATATCTTCTTGAAGTCATAATTATTCAGCAAACAGTATACTGATGGTGGAGATATTTAAAACCTTTAAATATGTGATTAGCAACTACAGAAGATACAATAATTGTTTTAATCAGTTCTTACACTGTAATTTAACATACAATGGGGCAAAAAAGTATTTAGTCAGCCACCAATTGTGCACGTTCTCCCTCTTAAAAAGATGGGAGAGGCCCGTAATTTTCATCAAAGGTAT